AGACCCAATGGGAGGCACCTAGACCCGGCATAACATTTTACATTCTTAAACCCAATGTCTTCAGCACTGTGCCATTTTCCTCTCTGCCAGTGTGAGCCCACCATCACCTAACTAAACGTCACAGAACTTTGCCGCCCTTTCCTTACATTGTGTGTTATGTCCAACTCTCACATACAAGGACCTGGGAAGCCATCTGCGACCCTTCATCCCTGGCAACAACTTGGCACACACCCAGGTCTTTTATCAAACGCATCTAAGACTAAGAATCTTCCTGCAAAATCTGGATTGTGTCACTGGTTGAGCTGGCCTTGCTTGGAGGTATTCTTGGACTCTCAGCGGAGCGGCGCCTGCAGACCTAGAAACCCCACCGTCTACTGTTCTCATTTCCTTGTTGAAGATGCAGTTGCTGCCTGGGTTTGGAGTGAGGCCCTGCCCAACAGCAGCCCCCCTGCCAGTGGCCGAGCAGCTGTCACTGGGCGCTGAATCACGGGGACCCCCTGGCTGGGCTTCTGCATGATACTGCTTTCCTGGTCATTGGGCCCCAGAGAGCAGGCTTTCCTCGTTTGGCATTTTTCTTTTGTTATGCTTTAAAATGTAGGCCAGCTGGTGGTCCCGGCCCTCTATCGCTCCCACACCGGCTATGAGGGAACAGAAGGATGGCACAGAGCTCGAAGAGGGGCGCTTTCCTGCCTGCAGGAAAGTGGCTGTCTGCCTCTCTTGACCTCTCGGTTGTCCTGTGATAACCTGCTGAGTTCTTGCCCGGGGAATTAGTTATACTTAAAGGGGAGCATTAGGAAAAAGTGAATTTATGCAGACGTCTCTCAGAACTGGAAGTTCTCTCTCCTTTTAACACAAGAAAAATGTCAAATAGATCACAGTGTGAGGGGCAGATCTTTCTGTTTCCTAAAGCGTTTCAGGCCAGAACAATATGCGGCTATGATAGGGCCTCCGTTACTGTAACTATCTCTATCACCTGTGTGTGTGTGTGTGTGTGTGTGTATGAGTGTGTGTGTAAAAGGGGTAAACGCTGGTTCGGCTTCTGGTGGTAAGAAAGTAAAGCATGAAGCATGCAAATGAAGGATTGAAAGGACCATCTCTGATTGGTCCCTGTACAGCACCAGATTCAAGTGAAGACTTGTAAATGGCACTTTCCTGATTGGCTCTGTGCAGAGGGACAGTGATGTCACTGGACTGGAATGTCTCTGTACCTGGGAGTGTCCCTCACCCTGCTGCCCTGTCTTACCTGGGCACGACTAGATGCACCCAGACTTCCTGGAGTTATTGGACTGAGCTGGAGTGGTACACACTCACAAAGGAGGGGCAGCTCAGACTGCAGCATGGCGCACGGGCCTGTCACTGCCCCATGAACCACTCTGGGCTTCTTGTCCTGCCTTAGCCAAGGAGGTGGCCAGGTACTGAGCTCTTGCCTATCCCTGCACTCAGTCAGCATAACCCTCCCTGCCACCCACACTGCCAACCTCCATGCCCCTGATCCACCACCTTGACAGCCCTTTGGCAGGTGTGTTACCTGATCCCTGACCACCTGAGCCTCAGGGACTCCAGGGCAGTGATGGTGAACCCAAGGCACACATGCCACACTGAGCTGTTTGTGTCACTGAAAGCTCTAAAAGGTTCACCATCACTGCCCTAGGGCCTGTACCACTTTCTAACCTTCGTAACTTAGCGTAATCATTTGAAGAGTGGTGTGTGACTTGAGTGTTACAGATCCTAGTGATCAAGATTGAAATGGAACAAAACATTTGCAATCACCAGTCATGACTCCAGGTAAACCAGGAGTACTGGTGAGATAAAGCCAGTGAACTGACGTAGCTTGCAAATCTACTGGCATTCAACAGATTTTGGCATTGTGGAAAGACACAAGTGCAGTGGTCTTTTATGGGTGTATCTTGCGTCACGCTATATATGCGTATATGCACACACACACATTTTTGGATGAACGAATTTTGGAAGAAAAGTAAGGTGGGATCCAAGAAGCTATGGTGAGGCAGTCATCAACTGTGAAAGGAGCATGTTCTTAGACATCGTCTACTTTAATTCCCAGGTTCAGACTGCAGTGCCGCTGCCTGGGGCCACACAGATCCCGTCCTGCCACGGAGATTCGCTCAGTTTGTTCGAACTGCAGGAACTTCAGAAGCTGTACCCAGGAGACGTCGCTAACAAGATGTTCTCCATTGGACTTCCATGGCTTTGGGAGCCGTTATGGGTCAAGGGCACATCCCGGACAGGAGCTGTAATTGACCTTTGGGGAGATTTGTTTAGAATGTTAGGAAAGAACCGATTTGTCCTGGAATTATCCAGGCTGCTGAGGCTGTGTGTCGGTGGTGACAGCCTCACGAGCACCTTACAGCAGCATAAGAGACGTGAACAGCACAGACGACAGACGCTGCCCTTCAAATGCAGTTTCCTCACACATTGACTCACACAGCGCGGCCTCACTCGCAAAGGCACACACACACGGTGTGACGTCACTCCTGGCCACTCCTGTGAGCACAAGACCCAACACAGTCCAAGTCCCCCCTGCGCAGGGGTCCAGGTCCCTGGAGGGGGGTGCGGGGGGGGCGCCGTATCCCCCGGGGGCCCCAGTGTCTGTCCCTCAAGGCTACAGTGTGTGGCTCTTAAGCAAATCTCAGCTGCCGGTTCCTAGGAGACGATCGCCTCTGACTAGCAGGTCTCCCATTCCTCCCTACAGGCGGGTTTGTGGTAAAGTTCCAGCCATCTTATCTGTCCTCCCAGCTGGAGCAGTCTTGGGGTAACCAACCAGCGTCTTTGGGTGCTGCCATCTGAAGAGTTCTGGAAACTCCTCGCCTCGGCCGCCTGTGTGCGGTGGTGTCACCGTGTACTTGGCGTGACCAGCGTGTTCCGTACACACAGGCACATGCAGGGCTCCTTTTCTTTTAGCCGAGTACTATCAGTGACACGTTGCCGAGCAGCATCGGGTGGGAGGCTCCCTCCTCCTGGCTCTGCCCTTCACCTTCCGCTCTACTTCTCCTCCAGCCCTGCTGGATTCCCCTTAGGAGCCCCATTAGAACAACTATTAACAGGTAACACTTACACCAGCGCTGCGGTAACTAACACTCTCTTTTTCTCTACTAGGTCGTTACCAAGATAAAGAAGAATGTCCCAAACAATATAATAATGGGGAGCGTAGCAGAGGGACTCCTGAGGAACCATACCCTCAGGAATATCTGTGCGCTGTGGGCTGCTGGGGTGAAGAGTCCTGCAGAAGGGAGCTCTGCTCTGTAACCGCTGTGTCCATGTGAAGCTGAGGGGGCCGTGGCGGACTGAGGCCACTGGGATGACCGTCCCACGCAGCAAGGGTGTCGGTTTTGGTGTTCAGTGCAAATCAGTCCTTCAGTCCATATCCATCCTCAAATAAGATACATTCCCCTTTAGGAAATCACTGGAAAGTTCTGCAGTGTGGGGATCCACAATAGTCAAGCCCGGGGTGCAGAGGGGATGCCATTGTGAACCTCCAGGGTCTGTTCTGTGTGTGCCCCATGTTCTGTTGGTGCTGTTCTGCAACACCCCTTTTCACTTACCCACACAACTTGGAAACTGCTCTGTATCAAAGGATTTCTGCTCCAAGCGAGAGATCGGGGTGGAGGGCACGGCGGGGCAAAGGTGCTCAGCTCACGGCAGCGCAGGACAGAGTGGGGGAGAGGCATGGGTAAGGACCGTGTGTCACCCTCCCGGACACACTCCGGAGTGTGCTTTCTTAATGCACTAGACGTTCCTCAGTCCAGTGAAGCTGACAAATCAGGATTAACAGTCACGGTACATACATACAACAGAATATGATTCAGCTATAAAAAGAACGACATTCTGTCATTTGCAATGACAAGGATGGAACTGGAAATCATTATGAAATAGCTCACACATGAAAGAGAGTGCTGCACGCTCTCACTCCTGTGGAATCTAAAACAGACGACCTCACAGAAGTGGGGCGAGCATTAGTGACCGCCAACACACTGGGCTGGGGCTCTCTCACCTGTACGTAGGCTGAGAACTTGCTGACTTCTCACGGACACTGAGCCCAGGTGGGGATGGCGGTGAGCGCTGACACGGCTGCAGGCCGGGCTCTGTTCTCAGTGCTCAGCCTGGCCCATCCCCCACGCTCGTGTCCTTGCAGGAGTCTTCAACCTGGAGCTTGGGGACTCAAATATTTAACCCTCCCTGGTTCGCTGGGACCCGTCAGGTGCAGTCATGGCTGTACCTCAACATCGAGTCAGTGATGGGTCAAGCGGGGTCTCGGACACACACACCTGTCTGTGCAGGAGGACCCAGCTGGGCCGAGTCTCCCAACCTCTCTCTCCAAGCCTCAGGGTCCTCATTTGCAGTGTGGAGGAAAGGTGGCATCCACCCTGGGAATGGGTGATGAGTCACAGAGAGGAGTGAGATGAGTCACCCAATGAGCTTAAGTGACTGTGTCCAGCACCCGCCAACGGCTTGATATGGGGTCTGTACCATTACCGGCTGGTGCCTTTGTGCAGAGACCACTCTGTCGTAGCTTAAATCTCTGCTCTTCCATTCGGAAGGCTCATCCCAAATCCTAAGTGTTGGCGAGGGGCCCTAGCAGGTCGCAGTGGGAGAATCCGTGTCTTGGGTGGAACTTGAGTCCAGGAGGTCTGAGCCTGTGTCTGCTGGTGACCTTGGAGGACAAACCCTGCTGCAGAGGGACAAGCGCTATGCGAAGGCTGAGGCATGCAGCTGCCCCACTGGTGCTGGTGCTTGGTCCTAAAATGCACGAGATGAGGAAACAATAGGGCAGAAAAGCTTTGAAAAATTCCACCGGGAAACGGACTGAGTGGGGTGGGGAGGGCAAGGGTCCAGGCCCTGGCGTCAGACTCTGCTCAGCTTTGTGGCCACGCCAGGCTCCGTGGAGCTGTGCCTGCTGCCACTCTGTCCTGAGCACTTGCAGCTCCTGCTTCCTGGGGCAAGGCCAGGGAGGCGGACTCAGGCGCTGCTGCCCCACTCAGGGCTGGAAAGCCCGCTGGTCCTTTTTGGGTGGCGTTTCCCCGTATCTGAGCACCAGGCCAGCTTTCGCCCTTGAGGAAGAGCCCGGATATGATCCTGGGGAAGGGCCTGGCCCGTGACTTTCGTGCTGAGGTTTGGACTGTGACACAGAAAATTTCTCTCCAAGAAACCTTGCCAGGAAGAACAGCGGTCGAGGTCCACCCAGGGCCAGCTCTTCTAAACGGGCTGCCAGCGTCACTGCTGTCTGCGTGTCAGTGAATCACTTGTCACCTCCTCCGCCCCGGGATCTGGAAATGGGGCCCAAGTTCCTGGACGTACTTGGAGTGAGGGAGCCCTGACCCCGTCCAGGAAGCATGGCTCTTCCTCCTTCCTGGAGGAAGGTGTTTCCCCTCTTCCCCCTCCTGTGACCCTAGCTGCCCTGCAGGGCTCCCAGGAAACCCTCGGTGGAGAGCAGAGAACCAGGAAGTGAGGCCCCAAGACAGGCAGGCGAGCCCTGGGCGCCTGGAGCGAAAGTGAAAGCGGCTTCGGGGCCGGCCGCCTGGTCGGAGACTCTCTCCCCACCAGCCCGGAGACAGAGCAGCGGTGCAGGGCCGCAGGGCGCCGGGGAGGGTGCGACAGGTGAGTGCCTGGCGCTGGCCTCCACACCAGACTCCCCGCGTCCGGAGGCAGTGGGGACTCAGCGGGGACTCGCATCTGGGGCTCCCTCCGAACCCCGCAAGCCCTGGCCACATGGTCAGCTGCAGCTGGGGTGTCGCTCCTCCCCGCCGGGACAGACTCCGGGGAGCCCGGAAACCGCCACCTCTCTGCTGTGCTGCCTTTCTTGCTTTGCTCTTGGCAAGGGCTGAGCTAAGTATTCTGTGAGGTTTCTGCTGGTGTCCTCAGCCCCGTCCCCCACTTTGTCTTCTGTCCTTCTGTTCTTCTGCCCTCTGTCCACCCTCCCCAAAGATAACCCCCAGCCGGACTTGCGTCTGTAACCGGCTATGTGGTGCGCGCACTGTTCTTTAGCAGGTGACCCTGGGAAGTGATTCTCTATGCCTCAGTCCCCCTTAATTCAGTGGGATTGATGCTTCCTCCTGGGTGTGCCGAGGCTGGTGGACGGAACGCTTGTAAACTGCTCTCAGCAGTGCCTGGCATTGCTGCGTACCCAGCACACAGTAGTTAGGAATTATTATAACATACTAACTCTAGTTTTATTATATTTTGCTCATTATGTTTCTCACTCTTTTTTGGTACTGGGAATCGAACTCAGGATCTTGCGCTTGCCAAGTTGTGCTTGTGCTGCTGAGCTATATCCTCAGCCCTTCTCACTTTTAAAACTTATAAAAACTCTACTCTTTAAATTTGGCTTGCCTGGCCAGATCCCAGTTTCAAGCCAGTGCATCATGCTACATGATCACAAGTTTTTTTAAAAATTTATTCTCAATGGACACATAGTCACTGGGTGTCATTATGGGGTACAGCGCGACAATTACATGAATGTCCATACTGTAAAGCAATCACATCAGCGTGACGAGCATTTCATCTCTGACAAACCCTCTCCCAGGACAGACGACACAGGACTTGGCTGCGCAGAGCCGGAAGGGTTGCTGGCAATGGCGTGCGTGGGCGCTTGGTCATTCTGAGCCCGCCTGATCCAGCTGCAAAGTCTTTGCCCACCCAGCAGGGATAGAGTGAGTATCTTGCGCTGACTTTGATTTTGAAGGCTATACTTTCAGGGGTCATTTCAGGGGTCAGTTTTGCATTTCTCAAGGCACTAATGCGTTTGAGCGGGCTATGCTGTTGGTTTTTTTTTTTTTTTTTAATGGGTTCTGCTGTTTGAGAATTTGTGTCAGGGAACCCCGAGTCCATACCCCTGTCCTCGTCGGTTGCTGGCAGGCGGACTTTGCAGGGTCTGATGTGGCCCCTCACAGGCAGGTCCTGTGCACACAGCCATGAAAACTGCACCACTGCCCTCAGGAAGCTCACAGGCTGCGACACTAAGTTTTCTCGAACAAAGGGACCAAGGGGGGTGGAGGATGCAGGAAGTCAGCAAACACTTCCTGAGATGCGCCTAGCCACGATCTGGATTTCATCCTGCTCTGTGATGTTGGTGCAACACACCAGGTGGAAGCGGGCGCTGGGGAAGGGGCTGGAGCTGTGAGGTTGCCTCTGCCAGGCCTTCCTGGGTAGGGGGCTTCTCACCCTTCACTCAGCCCTTCCCGCTCTGAGGTGGGCTTGGCCTGTGAAAGCTGGCATCCTGTCCAGGGAAGCAGAAAAGGCAGCTTCAAAGAGCAGGGGGTGCTTGGTTTCCTTTTCCTACTGTTAACATGGTGAGTGTGTGTGTGTGGGTGTGTGTGTTCACAACTGTGTCCCAGGGCTTACCTCTCGGACACAGGATTGGTCTCTGATCAGAAGGCGGAGGAGGCTTTGACGCGGGTGTGGTGGGTGCAGAGGCTGGGATCTGTGCTGTGAGGACCGAGAGCAGGCCTAGGGGACGAGGGCAGGCAGCCTTTGCAGCGTCTGACAGCCGAGGGTTCGGTCAGGAGCCACTGAAGGAAAAATCAGTCCCCGCACCCGTTCATGCCTCAGAGTCTTTGAAATCCTGGACTATGAAAAGAAAGCATTCTTGGTTGCTTCCAGTCTAAAACTCTCGCTTGAACAAGGAAATGAAGCCTGCAAGGTAAAATGATTCATCCAAAGTCATGCAGCCAGAGCCAGGACCCAGCACCCTGCCCTGTACCCCGACCCTTTGCGGCCCTGTACTCCTTGGGTCCCCTGCACCCCTTGGAGCGCTCCCTCCCGTCCGGCCTCTCTTTGGTGGCTGGAGCAGGAGCCAGTGCCCCCCCAGCCGCTCGGAGGTGAGCCCTCCTCTTCCTGTGTGTGACTCAGGAGTTTCAAAAGCAGGAAGTATGTAACACACTCAGTTTTTTGTGCTGCTTTTGCTCATCTCCGGTGAGAGAGGACTCCTCCTTCTCCTCCTCAGGAAGCAGGGAGGACGGCGGGGTCAGGGCTCCGAGATTTGTCTCTGGTAAGGTCTGCTGCGCCTCTGGTTCTAGAACTCTCCAGGAGCTGGTCTGGAGTGACCTGGAAGCACATGGCTGAGGTGGCCCTGTGGTTAGGTGTGTGTGGGAGGCAGGGAGCTGAGCTGTGGGCTCCCATTCCTGCAGGCCCAAGCCACTGCCACCCAGATCGAAGGCAGGGCACCCCCCAGGCCCCACCGTCTCTCCCAACCCGTCAGAGAGGGAGGCAACAGTGAATCCCAAAGGATGGCTGCTACCGCTGTCCTGTGCACACCACCACCACACACGCCAGCACAGACACCCAGCACATGCACACCACACACGCATACCTCCACGTACGTGAGCACACACACCACACACGCACAACACACAACCACACAGGCACCGTCTCACACATACACACAGCCAGCACGCACAGACACGTGCTCACAAACATGCAGATACCCAGCACACGCACACCAGCACACACACCGCCACTTACACCAGCACACATGCACAACACACACGACCACACATGCACCCTCACCCGAACACACACACAATCTTAGCAATTCAATCTAGTTATTTGTTTTAGAGTTAGAAGATGCGGAGCAGTGTAGGGCATAGCTCAAGGAGAAGCGCAGCGATCCGCTTGTGGGGTGCAGCACCTGGGGGGACGCCCTGCTGTCCTCAGTGGGGCCTGGGGCCGCTCTGGCTCCTGCAGTGTGCTCGCTGGGGGCTTCGCGCCCCTGGCCCCAGGTCTGCGGGGCACAGTGTGGTGCGGCTGGAGGGCCCGGTGCTCCCTCCTGGTGGCTCTGAGAGAAGCCCCCGGGCCGGCCAGGCTGCCAGGCTGCGGGTTCACGCGAGGCGGCCCCAGCTCCGGCCCCAGCTCCGGCCCCCAGGAGCAGGCTGCTGCCAGTGGACTCCTGGAGTGAGTGTGGTGAGGAAATTGACTGCGGCCTGGGCGCTAGGGCTGGGATCAGGGCGGAGGCGCGGGTGGGACTGGCTCCAGCACCTGCCTTGCGCTTTGCCCTGCTGTATCGTTTGGTTCTCCTGGTTTTGTGATGAGTTTTATTTTTTCTTTCTTTCTTTCTTTCTTTCTTTCTTTCTTTCTTTCTTTCTTTCTTTCTTTTTCTGTAATTTTAATCAGTAAAAATATGTTATTCTTTCTTCATCAGATTTTCTCACCTTGCTGCAGCTGTCATTAGCACAGAATCAAACCCTCTCTGCAGCTGCTGTGAGACCCTGACTTCCACACTGACTTCTAAGTTGTGGGTTAGCATAACAGAAAAATGAGGATGGTGATAGCAATTTGAGAGAAGAAAAAAATTACGTTTGTATGGTTAACTAGGTGTAAGCATTTCTACATCATAATATCAACTTTAGTTTGTACCTAAATACTTGGGGCATAAATATATAAAATATCAAATGTACTTACACATGTAATGCAAATATATTTACCTAGATGTCATATAACATATATGCATCATGTAGCAAATATTTAATTCTTTGTTTTATACTTATACTTATCTATGTGGATGTGAATAAATTTGGGGGTAAAACAACAAATGTGACAGGAGAATTACTTCTTCTTTTGAGACAGGGTCTCACTATACAGTTCAGGTCGGTCTTAAACTCACTATGTATCCCAGGCTGGCCTCAAACTCACAACAATCCTCCTGCCTCAGCCTCCTGAGTGCTGGCATTACAGTAGTGCCTTGCCATGGCTGGCTAGAGAATTACTTCTAAATAACAAGATTTAGGAGTGATTTTTATTTTTTCTTTCTCTATAGAACAGATGTTACTTTTACTATTTTTAGGAGCAGTGAAATGTAACAACAGATGTTATTTCAAAAATTTATTATTTTTGGGTATTGGGGAATTAAGCCTAGGGTCTCATGCACAGTAGGCAAGCACACTACCCCTGAGCTACACTTCCAGTCCTTTAAAAAAAGTATTTCGAGAGAGGGTCTAAGTTACCCAGACTGACCTCAAGGTTGTGACCCTCCTACCTCAGCCTCCTGAATATCTAGGATTCAGGTGTGCACCACCAAAGCTTGTACCCCAGGAGCTCATGACTGAATCCAGGTCCCATCACATGAGAACGTGGCGCTGTCCCTGCCAGCCAGGTGGCCTTGAGTGTGCCTGTGTTTAGTGGTGCAAGTGATGGCTTCCTGAGTGCTGACTTGAGAGATGTATGACCTAAACAAAAAATGAAAACCAAAAGACGACTGTCACACTTGTGATGGCCTAGAAAGCCAGGGCTAGATACTTTCCCTTCTGAGGGTGCGCGTGATCTCATGGGAGGTCGCTGCGGGAGCACCTCAGGCACTGCGCAAGTGGCACCCAGCTGCGGGGCGCTGCCTGGCCTGGGATAGAACTGGTGTGCACGCTGGGAAATGCAGCTCATCAGTCACGGAGCTTCAAAAGGCGTTGCTCCTTTCTGACCCAGTAATATTACTTCTAGGAAATTATTCTAAGAAAATAATCAGAGCTATACTTGGAGATTTGCATTTTAGAATCACCCTAAATGTGATAAGGGACTGTTTATGTAAATTAAGGCTCTTCCATATGATGAGTGCTTTCTGGGTGTTAGAACCCATGCTGCGGGAGAGACACTGAAGACATCGAGGTGTACTTACATTTTATTAGTGGGAAAATCCTCTTACACCACAGAAATAAGTGTTCAAATACAAGAGAAAATATATACACATAAAATATTTGGTAGGAAAGATTGAAATATTACTGGGCATTTATCTTTGGATGATAGAATTACAGGTAAATTTGCTTTCCTTTGTGTCATTCCTGAATTTTCCAAAATGAATACAATAATTGTTATCACCAGAAAACTTAATCATGGAGGGAGTGAAGGAGGTTTGGCTTTCATTTGATTCTTTAGTGGATTTTATTTTGTGAAACAAGACTTTAACAAGAGGCTAAAGCCAATTTAAAGTTTTAGGAATGGCTGACCTAATGCAGTTAAATAGGCCTGGATCTAGTTTAGATCCTTGTCCTGTGTGTGAATGAGAATGAATCTTAGTGATTTTAATTTAGCTGTATACTCATTTAGAATGAGTAATACAGTCACATGGTAACAACGGCAACTGGACAGATGTGTGCGAAGGCTGAGAGGGTGGAGCAGCTCCCTTCCACCCCCGGCTTCCTCCAGCCCAGCCAGGCCCGCACTTGGGCTGTCGGGGCCCCAGGGAGGCGGCTTCGGGTCAGTGTGGAGGCACACAGCGCGGTGACCGCCAGTCAGCTCATTGTGTGGGTCCCGCAGCCCCGTGGACCTCCCACCCTTTCTAGTGGCTGATAGGGTTCCGTCACAGACCACAAGAGCCGGTACCTCCCGTTGTAGTGATAAACGGGTGTTTCTGCTCTTCTATGTCAAGCTTGTGCCATGGGTACCTTTCACATATTCTCATTATACTTTCTTTCCAGTGAGTGTAAGAAAAACTGGAAATTGGATTGTGGGATCCAAGTGCATTTTACATTGAGGGGAGGGGAGGGGAGAGGGGGAGAGAGACAGAGAGACAGAGAGACAGAGAGAGACAGAGAGAAAGACAGAGAGAGAGACAGAGAGAGAGCACCAAAGTACCTACCTACCTGTCCTTATGTCCATGTCTCACAATATTGTATTTTAATTTTTGTACTTTGCCAATTTGGTAGTTGAAAATGGTCCTTCATTACAA